TTGCAGATGAGAAAATTGAAGCCCTGAATGGTCACTTGCATCTTCAAAGATTTACCAAGCTATGTCACAAACCACTGAGGAGCTATGGGCCCAGTTCTCACAGAAGTGATACCACTAGCATATATAAAGTTACCTTACATAATATAACACTAAACCCAGCAACCACAGTTCTTATTTCTGGCTGCCTTCATGGCTGCCTGACCCTGTGTGTCTCCCTCACTTCTTTGTATTCCTCTCTCAGCTCGAAAAAGCTGTCTAGTGCTACAAATCTTAAGACGTTGACATCTTTGAGTCCTAGTTTCTTTGCTAGAGGTCCATCCTAAGAAAAATGTCTGCTTCCTATCTGCAGCCACAGAAAGGGGAAAGTGATCACCTTTAAGTGGAAAAACATTCATTATTCATAGTGTCAGCCTACCGTAACGCTAATTGTCTTGGAATTGTAACTGAGTTTTAAGACCATTTTAACATACTGCCAGAAGTATTTGCTAGGAAGTCATCATACTGGTCATTTTCAGTAACTGCAAAAGGTTGTCTCCATTGAGTGGCTATGGTATAATTTAGTTAATCATACCCCATTATTGGACACTTATTTCCAATTTTTACCTATTATTCATAGCACTGCTATTAGTGTTAATGAGTTTTTAAAGAAAAATATATGTTAACAAAAAGCCTGAGAATACAATTTGATAAATTCATAAATTCATCTTGAACAAATTTGATAAATTGTCTTAAACTAAAGTGGATGAAGTGATTGCCTGCATGATGGCTTGATGCCCACTAACTTTTACCGTGCATTTGTAAGATTATAAATCAGTGCAGAGGGAGTGTCCCAAGCTGACTGCTGTCATTTGCACCATTCTGACATTATGAGGGTACAGCATTGCACAATAGAACCCTTGACAGCTGGGAACTGTTGTTTTCTGTGGATTAATTAAGGAAGCAGATTGGACATATCGCATAGAATTTCACAGCAGTGGAAATCTAAATCATTTCTGCTAATTTGCTAACACAGTTAAAAAGTTTCATCATTCAGGAAATTCAAGAACTTCTGCATTATCAAAAAGAAAGACCTTGATATGGGTATTGCAGAGTCCCAAGAAAATATAAATATGCTGATTCCCATAAACAAAATTTTTCAAAAACCTCTTACCCAAAGATAACAGGTTTTCATAGGGCATTTCATAATAACCTGCATATGAGGTTTCTATTTTGAAACCACATTTGCTTTTATAAAACATAAAGGTAAAAGGAACCACCTTTTACAAACAGAATCATGACACTTCCCATTCAAGGCCAGCATTAGTACTTCTAAGATTTTCCAACAAGTATGAAAACTGACTTACTTAGATGGGTGAGCATATATAGAGAAATATTACACTGCAGTAGCTAGAAATTAGAAACAATCTATATGTCCACAGATAAAGGAATAGTTTTAAATATTATGGCAAAAATGTTGTCAAAATATAAACTCATGTGTTTTGATATAAAAGGATTTTCGAAATATACTGATAAATGATAAAAATAGCATCCAGAAAATTTTTTACAGTATTCTAAATTTGTTTGTAAGGAAAAACTGCATATGTAGTCTTATGAATTTTATCACCTCTTTCTTTTTTATTTAAAGATTGTATTTATTTATGCATACAGAAATGGGATACAGGCCAGAGGTGCAGGGACAGTGTGAGGATTCACCAGAAACAGAGTGAGGTGCGGAATAGGCAGATTGACAAGCTACACTGCTGAGGGAAGCAGCGGGCAAGACATGAGAGATCTGCTACTCCATGTGGGTCACCTCAGGGGTGGGGGTCGAACTCACACTGAAGCAGCCATGACTTGGCTTGGCTTGATTTCGCTTCGCTTTGCTTCACTTCGCCTAGCATTGCAGTACAGCACTCCAACCCATCAAGCCCCCAGGGAGGGCCCTATCTGCTCTTTCTAAAAGAACATGAAAGATACTGGTCACAGGACTGGGGGGGATGAGACCTACAGACAAAAGAGTAACAGTTATTTTCATCATATAATCTCCTTCCCCTTAAATTTGATACAATGAACATATGGTGTTCATTCAAAAATGTAATTTATTTGATGGCTCCTTAAAAAGTTAAACATAGAATAACTGTCTGATTCATCAGTTCCATTCCTGGGTGTGTATATATATCCAAAAGAACTGGAAACAGGGACTCCGCAGACACTGTCTGCCAGTGTTCACTGCTTCCTTATTCACAGTAGCTAAAAGTTAGGGGCAGCCCCAGTGGTGTATTCACAGGATGGGACATTATTCTGTCATAAGGAAGGATATGCTGGCACGTGTTGTGGCATGGGATCATCTTGTAGCATGGCATTATGCTAGATGAAATGTCAGATAAGGAAAATGTGGTTCTGCTGAGATAAAATACCTAGAGTAGGTGACATCACAGGAAGAGAAAGTGGATGAGAGGTTACTGGGGTTGCAGGGTGGCAAATATGCAAGCTATTGTTAATTACCAGTTTCTCTTTGGGGTAATGAAAGTTTTGGAAGCGAGTGTCATGATGGCCACACAACCTGGATGTAATTAATACCATGGAATAGTGCACTTAAAAATGGTTAAATCACAATTTGATAGGTATGTTTTACCACTAGTAAAAAATTAAAATAAAATTCTATTTTAAACAATGTAGGTTAGATAAACCAGAGACATTCTGCAGGGGATGGGAAGGAAGAGGAATCAAAACGAGGGCAGAAAGAGCACAAGGGACTGTGGTGATGATGCAGAGGTGAATTGGTGGTGGAATCTATGAGGAACTATACCTGAGAAAAGATAGCAGACAACGTAACTAAAAAATAATTAACTACTTAATTTAAAATCATTTAAAAAATACACTTTAAAGAAAATGCCTGTGCAGCTTCAGGTTCTCCTAGAGCTTTCCCGGAAACAGGCACCCTTCCAATGTACATCCTCTCAGAGCAAACACCATCTCATGCTTACTTTGTCAAAATAGAAAAATGTGGACGTGGTCAAAATAGAAAAATGTGTAGACATATCTTCTATGTTTCAAAAAAAAAAAAAAATCACATCTCCCAGATAGCAGATGTTTGTGCTGATAGAGAGAGGAGAGGGAGGAGCAGACAAACTTGGATTGGAAGAGCCAGGATGGTTTGACCAAAAAGGAGGCTTTCAACTCTGCTGGCAGCAGTGGGATTCTGCACATTGGAGGAGGTATTTGAGGCTCAAAGGGATATGAACCAACCTTCTTAGTGAAAAGCTGACTGAGCAAAGGGTGGGAATGTCCTGTCCCAGAAGTTGGGGTTGGAGGTCCTGGAAAAGCAGCTGTGGCCAGATGGTGTTGCATTTAATGTGTTTGGAATTTTAAATACTGGCTAGGGAGAAATAGCATAGGTATTTTTTTCTCTTCTTTTCCATTATCCCATTTACCATTTAGGAACGTGAGCCTCTTACTCTTATCAGGCAGAGATACAGTTTACATTTCTTCCAGGCTTTTTTTTTTTTTTCCCCAACTCAAACTGTGTTTGCCATCTAGTGATTAATCTGTGCCATTACAGCCACCTCCTCCAAATCCCCATGTCTGCACTGCAGTTAAGACACAGGCCAGGCCCTCCCTGGTGGCGCAGCGGGTTAAAGCACAGCACTGAGAATCTAAAGCCACTTCCCCATGAGTTCGATTCCCGCCTGCCACGGAGGTGACCACATGGCGTGGCAGACCTCTCCTGACCCGCCCGCTGCTCCCCTCAGCAGTGTACTTCATAGATCTGCCTGTTCTGTTCCCCTCTCTGTCTCTGGTGAAGCCTCTCACCGCCCCTGAGCCTCTGGCCTGTACCCCAGTTCTGTATGCACAAATAAATAAATCTTTAAAAAAAAAAAAAAAAAAAAAAAAAAGACACAGGCCAGGCCACCCTGCTGCGGAGCACTGACTCCAAAGAACACTTCTCACTGGCCCTGAAAGGTGCATGACATTCAGAGCCATCAATAAAGGAATCTGACCCCTGGAGACAGGTAGTAATGTCTCATGAAAGAAAATGTAGTGGGTTATCAGAAAGTCAACTTTAGATATTAAATATTGGATTTGAAGAGTAACCACTGGTAACACCTTTGGATGAATGTTATCGACTCTCAGCTCCATGGGCGGGTTCCACAACAGTCCTTCCAGCTCTTCTTCCCACATGTCTTACAAGTGTACACAAGGGCCTTACTAGCTTTGCTTCCAATCATGAACATAAATATCCTGATTTGCTAAATGCTAGTGGAACTAAGGAATACCCTTTGTTCTTTTCTTGGTGACATCATTGAGTAGCCAAGGCAAATCAAAGCTTTACTTTCCAAAACTGACTAGTTGGGAGAGTAGACCAAGAAATATTGTGTTGCATATGAAGGATTGAAAACTCAACATCATTTGCTCAGAACACTTGAAAGGCCCAGGGTAATATTTTGTACATGAATTAGGTTTCAAAGCTAATCAGAGTTTCTAAACAATGGTGATTTCTGCACTGGAGAATGTACTGGATCTAGTAATGTATTTTTTCCCTTGAGAACTAAGCTGTGGAAACGCATTTACTCAACAATAGTTAACTGAATGTTTTCTGTTTGTCAGACCCTGAGCTGGGACTAGGCTACAGTGTATTTTTGCATAGTTTATCATGATAATATCTTTTCCAAACCTTTTTTCTTTAATCACATTCCCTTCCCCCCTCAGCCTTCATGGGATTCAAACATGACTTGCCTATAATGAATTTTGTCCCAGGAAGGATTATGTTGTACAGAGATAGTGGGTACAGGTCCCACTTCCCTGCCAAGTTTTGCTTATTTTTCAGGTTGTGTGACTGTTACCTTGATAACAGTTTCTGGCCTCCAATTCAATGGCTGCCTCCAAGCCCTGAAATGTGACAGAATGTGTTATAGGAAATCATTCACCCGAACTCTACAACCATGTGAGATGCTTGGTTGTCATTTTAAATGGTCACTCCATCCTTTTTTGGTGAATCTGTCTGCATTTGACTTTTGCAGGGACGGCCAGAGATACCGGGTGTATGTTGTGATACCACTTCTGCCAGGCTTTGAAGGAGACATTTCAACCGGTGGAGGAAATGCTCTACAGGCAATAATGCACTTCAACTACAGGTGCCAAAGTTATAAAGTTGTCTGTTTTCAGCTTTCCATCAGTCATACATATCAGCTGGTGAAGGAAATGAAAATGTGTCTTCCTATCCATTCAATGGACATTAGAACAGATGAATGCTTTCTTTTACTCTTGAATGTTGGCCAATTTACTAGTTGATAAAATTCAAGTCAACCTAAAAGTATCAATGCTAGCCTAGGATACAGGGCAAGTATAAAATACATAAATAATAATTTCTCTTTTTTGTATGCATTGCCTGCCATTTCTTTTGTATATATCTTATCTGATCTCCATTCTCCATATACAATATATAGACAGACAGATCAACTGATGGATTGACTTCTCTCTCTCTCTCTAATAAATAGTGACCAGGACACACACACATGCACATTATTGATTTATATAATCTTTAAGTTAATAAATAGCTATTGAGTATCCCATTTTCTTTGCTGAATTAAATGCTTAAAATACTACAATTTGCACCTGGTTTTTTATGACTCTTTAAGTGGTAAGTCCTCCAACGAGGTTGGTAATAATAGTGTCTGCTAGTAAGTGAAGTATGAAGGTCCTTTGCTATCTCCTGAAATTTTAATTGTTTTCTCTACTTATCTTTGTTAAGAAGCAGTTTCCATATTCACTTTAAAAGGCTCCAGAAGATTTAGGGAGCCTCCCTGGTGGTTCAAGGGGTTAAGTCTCAGCACCATGAGGCTATTAGCAGCCACTGTAGGAATCCCTGGTCAGGTAGTTGAACCACATGGTGCAGCAGATCTCCCCTATCTTGCCAGCTGCTCCCCTCAGCAGTATAGTGAGGAGACTATTCTGCTCCCTACTCTGTCTCTGATGAATCTTTTCACTCTTTACCCCCCATGCCTCTGGCCTATACCCTATCTCTTGTATACATAATAAAATAAATCTTTTTTTTTTTTAAGATAAAAATAAAGCACAGGAAGCTTTAGCTTGCTAGGTAGAGCAAGTATTGAGTGACGCTAGCTGAACAGACAGGGGAAAGGGCTGTAAAAAGTGGCCTAAAGACACCCCTACTGTTCCTTCAGGGTCACATAGCTGGGAAAGGGGAGAGCAAAGTGGACAGGCCTGGGTTTGAATTCCAGTTCCCATTTATAGGTTCTGTAACCTGAGATACAAAAGACCATGCTCTAGATCACACATAATATATCACAGTACTAATTGGACTGAATATTTTTTTATTCCCTGTTTTTAAGAACCATCTGTGTTTCCCACATTTTCAATTAAACCATTTTGGTGGGCAGGAACAAATGAGACTCTACAGAGAACCCCAGTGTGCAAATCAGATAAAGGCTAGATTGGGAGGGGGTGGGAGCTTAAATGCACTCTAGTTTGAACCTTCCTCCCTAGAAGTACCCACTGCAGCATCTGATGACCTGTGAGATATTTGAATGCCCCATAGTGGTAGAAACAGTTTTTAAACATCCTCTTGCTTCATTCTTGCCTCTAAGCTTTTATCTGTCTACTACAGTTTCAAGTAAAGAGGGTTTTGTTGTTTCCTTTAGAGTCATTTTGCCTGGTTACAATATGTGAGATTTTTAACTGTGCTTTGTCCTATACAATTGGATTTGCCTGTTTCTAAGATTATCTGATTTATAACAGTACAAAGAAAATTTTTCAAGTATTTTGTGCACTGACATAATGTTTAATTGGATATTATCCACTTCATTTGCCATTCTAATATTATTTTTGGAATATTGTCAATTGCAATTATTTTCTATGACTGTTTTTTTTGGGTTTCAACCAGCTGAATGAAATAACATGGTTGGCTTTTGTTCAGCAACCAAAACTATAACCTTTTATTATGCAAAAAAATCCTTATTTGTTGGCATCATCTGTAATAATATCAACATTTCTGAGGAATAGCTATATTTTTAATTACTTTTATAGAGCAAGCAGATGGAGCATAAAATTTTTTATTTTGTCACCCTTTATAATTACTGAATGTTATACAAGGCAAAGAGACAAAGTCATCAGCAGAGTTAATTATTTGAGACCATAATTTTTACTTTTAAGGGTTTTATTGACTGTACAGAGATAATCCAGGTATAAAAGATAGTTTTTTTTTATTTCAAAATTGTTCTACTGTTTTCACCTCTAAAGCTATGTGGTTTTTAAATATTATTGTGTATTGAAGCATTCTGAATTTATTTTTTCTGTCACCCAGTTATCTTTGAGGGAAAGATCATTCATAACTCATCCTTTAAAAAAGCATATCTTTTGAAATCTAACATCAGTTTGATAACTTTCCCATTTACCTATCTCAAAACAATCATTTGTTCCATTAATAACAATACAAAAATTACATTCTTATGTTTTTAAGGTTTTTTAAAAAATTATCTTTTGTTCTATTTTTACTTGTATGAGGATTTTACCCTGCACACATTATACTCAGGATTGGTTCTTTTGAAACAGCCAATATCCTTTCTTTCCTATATTTTTAGAACCATGTGCAGAGGAGAAAATTCCATCCTTGGACAGTTAAAAGCAAAACGTAAGTGACTGCTTTTTTTTTTTTTAACCGCATGACTGTTTTTAGTGAGGTATCAGTAATCACTAATGTCTTCGTAGTGTGATTATTGAATTCTGTTCACACATGGTAACACGCAAACACTTCATCTGAAGTAAGTTATTTATTCTCATTAAATTGCCCAAGAGAATGTTTACATGAAGATACAAGAATAGATATACACAAGTAATAAAACATGATAATATATTTGTGAATGATGCTTATTACTTTTATTTCTTTCTAATAACTGTTTTGATATAAGTGGGATTTTAAGATAGTTCAGAAGGGCTCCACATGTGTCTTCTCCTATGATCCTGTCCACAGTCCAGGGCATTAGACAGACCAACTGTCACCCCTGAATTAAAGATGAGGACTATAAAATCAACCTTCTATATATGTAGAAGTCCCAGGATTCTCACAATACTATCACAGATTATATTTTTGAACATATGCATAACCATTATATACATATATATACACATTATATTTACAATATAAAACATTACATTGTATAATATTTATAATATTTTATATATAAGCACTTTACCACCATAACATTTGACTAAATCTTTGCCATTACTAGATATAAATAAATTTAAGAATGAAGGCCACTATAAATTCCCTTCTTCACTTCTTTATACTTGCAAAAAAACTTTTCAGTTATCTTAATTGCTGATTTATCCTTAGCTATAATGTATTGTGATTACAGGTTTATTAATCAGTATCTCCTGAAACTGACTCTATTTCAGCACATAGTATATGTCCAATAGTTGTCAAAATTCTATACAATAAATATATAAAGTTCTACAAAAGCTAAGCTAGAGTTAGAACCCAAGTTGTCTGACCTCAAGTTTAGGTCAGCTAGTATAAACTCTAAGGGCCATATTACAAACACTAGATTTTATCCAGAAGTCACGATATGGTTGGTGGAATCCTCAGATCCTGGAACAAATTCACCAAAGTGGTGTTTATGTGAAGATTCACTTAGTGTTATTAAGCAACGTGGAGAGAAACTGGTAGTAGGGAAGAGATAAAGATGTGTTGGTAATGGGAAGAAGGGTTATATGTGAATAAAACTGAGGGAAAACTTGAGGGGCATGGGAGCAGAAGAGAAAGGAAAGTATGTCAGATAATCCTGAGAATTTTAACCTGACAAAGAATGATTTGGAAAATCAGGCAGTCATTCTCTATACCTCTCTATACCTACTATAAAACTCAATTGATTTTTTAAAGAGATATAACTTTACATGGATAGCCTCCCAAATGTGAAATATTACATAGTAAATCAAATGCTATTAAGTATCTTATAGTGTATCTGTTCTGATATACTGCATGAGATACTAGATACTAATATCAGATACTAGGTAGTATATCAGAATGTAGGTTAATATAAAAATTACAAGCATATATATAACTAGTAATAGAAGCCAAAGTTTGCACAAAAATTGACAGAATTAAAGAGAGAAATAGACAATTCAAAAATAATAGACTTTTCAATATTTCATTTTCAATAATGTATAGATCAGCTGTACAAAATATCAGCATTGTAACTAAAGACTTAGACTGTTAACCAAATAGACCTATAAGATATCTATTGAAAACTCCACCTAATAATAACAATGCACATTCTCAAGTATTCATGAGACATTCTCCAAAATAGACCATAGAATAGACCATAAAACAAGTCTCAATAATTGTATAAGGATTGAAATCATGTAAAGAATTTCTGTTCAGAGTAGGCTGAGCTTACAGATTAATAACAAAATAAAATTTTAGAAACTTACAGATAGAAATCAAACATACTCCTAAATTACCAAAGAGTCAAGAGACACTAGAAGAGTAATTGGAAGATATTTTGAGATCATGAAAATGAAAACAATATATAAAAACTTAGCAGACACACATAAGTCACTGCATAGAGGGTTATTTCTAACTGCATTAACACCTTTGTCATAAAAGAAAACAATCTTAAACCTATGAATAAACCCTATACTTTAAGAAGCTAGAAAAAGAACCACAAATTAGATTCATATAATGAAGGAAATAATGAAAACTAGAAAGCAAATGAAATATAATACCAAAAGTTCATTCTTTGAAAACATTGGCAAATTTGACAAGCCTTTAGTTTCTAAAAATGCCCCAAGTCTCCACATTCTTTTGATCTCTCGATCCAGCATACTCCCTGTCACTGTCCCAACTGCAATTTTGCAGAAATTGACAAGCTGACCCTAAAAGTCATGTAGAAATCACAAGCCAGTTAGAATAGCTGAAACAGTTGTGAAAATGAAGAACACTCCTGATTTAAAAATTCTACAGTCTTGCAGCAATAAAGACCGTGTAGCAATGAAGTATGGTTAAACATATAGATCAGAGATATAGACTTGGGAATTCTGATATAAATTCTTCTTATCAATTGGATTTCATTGACTAATAGAATTCAGCAGAGAAAATAATGCTAATATAAAAAGAATGAAGTATAAAATAATGGATAGTATAAAAGAATAAAGTTAGAGCCCTACCTCATAACATTTATTTAAAAAATATAAATTGACCAAAGATCTAAATCTAAGAGCTAAAACTGTAAAATTCTTACAACAAAACATGGGCATAAATCATGACCTTTGATTAAACAATGAATTTTTTGATCTTACACCAAAAGCAAAAGCAGACCGAAAATAAATATTTATTTATATGTAGACAGATGTTAGGTGTTCTATACTTTTTCACTTCTCAGTCTAAACATCTTCAGTATAAATTTTAAACATAAGAAACATCCATCACTGGGCCCTCCCTGGTGGCGCAGTGGGTTAAAGCACAGCGCTAAGAAGCATAAACCATTTCTGCATGAGTTCGATCACTGTCTGCCCCAGAGGTGATCCACATGGTGCGTCAGACCTCTCCTGACCGGCCTGCTGCGCCCCTCAGGAGTGTACTTTGTCAGTCTGCCCACTCTGTCTCTGGTGAATCCTCTCACCCGCCGCATCTCTGGCCTGTACCCCAGTTCTATATAAATAAATAAATCTTTTTTTAAAAAAAGAGAAAGAAACATCCACTACCAATAATAAAATCTTCTAAAAGTTGTAATTGCATCCAGGACAGAGAAGATTTACAAGAGTATTATCCCTATCTATATTCTCGAATGTCCTGCAATGAAGATGATAGTGAAGGGATAAGTATATAAAAGATACATCAATAAAATCAAAGCTAAGAATGCCATTGAGTGTGGGCAGTGGCTAGTAAAAATAAAAGTGAGGTCATAGAATAATAAAAAGTCAGAACAAGCCTATTATTTTGTTTCTCAACCATACGAATGTACTAATTGTATTGTAAAGCATGTCCTTTGGTTCTGGAAACTTTTCCTGCTTTTGCCTATTCAGGGGGGTGGGAATTGGATTGGGTTTGAAGTAATTTCAAGAAGTAATTTCAGTGTTAAACTGCCCTGATGAAAGGACTTTCAAGTACAAGTATCCTGAGAAGAAGTCAAAAGCAGTCATTTGAGTAGGGGAAATGCTGATATTCTAAACATGAGGAATTGATCAGTTACATAATACCCCTTTTTAGGTACAGTGTTGCATTTTTACTCTTGTTTTTGTAAATGTGTGGTGAGCTTTAAATACATATGCTAGCAAATATGTAATTCAATAGAGAACTAGTTCTCCACTGTTTAAATTCTTTAGAAATAACAAAACTGCTGCTATGAATATGTTAAAATTCCTGAAGTAAATAGTAGCTTTGACTGTATAATTAGCTGATACTCCAGTCTTTAGGGATTTAGTGTTTAATTCAAAGCATTTCTTTATAACTTTTATAATTTTTGTGAATTGGGCAGTTAAGCAGCCAATTTAGTATAATTTAACATAAAATGTAGAGGTAGTTCAATCAGGATTACAAATGTACACAATAAAGTGCTATAAGATTTTTTTTTAAAGATTTATTTATTTATTCGTACAGAACTGGGGTACAGGCCAGAGATGTGGAGGGTGAGAGGCTTCACCAGAGACAGAGTGGGGAGCAGAACAGGCAGATCGACGAAGTACACTGCTGAGGGGAGCAGCGGGTGGGTCAGGAGAGGTCTGCCGCACCATGTGGTCACCTCAGGGCAGGCGGGAATCGAACTCATGTGGAAGTGGCTTAAGTTTCTTAGTGCAGTGCTTTAACCCGCTGCGCTACCAGGGAGGGCCAAAAGTGCTATAAGATTTTAAATGCAGCAAAATCCTATAACAACTCTTGAAGGTCTTTCACAAAATGTCCTTATAAACATTGAGTCCTTTGTAGGGACAGTGTAACAGATATTGCCAAAGATCTATCTATACCTCCAGCTTCTCAAGTAACTCCATAACATGTCACCTGGAAACTTTCCTGATACTCTAAACATCCAGCACTTCATATAGGTGTTTATACATGCTTCTGGCTTTCTTATATGTTCTTTGAAAAGCAATTGCTTCCTAAATATACTGCATAGCATGCATCAACATCACCAACTTTGATACCTATTACTTGTTGAGCCAGTTTTCTTCACAGAATAAAGTAGTATATGAAATAAGCTCCTCCACGTGTTTTTACTTCTCATGTGTGCAGGGTGGATTCATCGACATCATACAGGGATGCCCCTTTGCATTTGATGGGCCAAATTCTGGCCTGGAATAATTAACATTTCTGGGGGTCATGTTACTGGTACTAACTGTTACCTCTTTCCTTAGAAACATTTTTTTTATATAAAGGCAAAGATTTTATAACTTCCTAAGTATTACTAGGTAGGAACAGAATGTGGTGTGGCTATGGACTGTGGGCTGAGGTTCCCTAGCTAATTGATATGTTGTTGCTGCTCTCCAGCCTCCTTCTGGAATGACACGAACCTGTGCCCTGGGAAATTACAATGTATTCCATGTCTTGCACCCTTAGGTTTTTGGTAACTTGTCTGTATTATTCATCTTAAGAAAATAGTTTTTAAATAATTTCAGATTTATGGAAGTGTCCCGAATTTCCATTCTTCATCCTGATTTTGTAGATGTTAACAGTTTGCCTTCTTAATTGTATCATTTTTCTCTCAGTAGATAATAGAAGGTGGGTTTTTCTACTGAATTAGTTTAGAGAAAATTGTAGTCATGATGCCTATTTACCCTTAAATGCATGCATGTGTTTATGAAAATCAAAGACATTTTTTTTTGTTCTCTTTTTAAAAAAACTTATAATAGTTTTACATATTTTTGTGCATTTTTCCATCTCAATTGCAAACCCCTTGAGTTTCCCATCACCACATCACCCATGTGCCATCATCATAGTCCAGTGCATTTCCCTCCCCCCACTGTTTTTGATCCCATTTCCCTCTTCACCCCCACAAAATGTCTCTGGTATATAGCTGTTCATCATTATCATTATTTTCTTGCCTGTTCCATTATATTCCTGCTATGAGAGAAACCATCCGGTATTTTTCCTT